AATTTGCAATTCTCTAATTCTTAGTAACAAGTCCTTTGTAAAGAATTCAGCTTTTGTGTAAACACCCAAGTTCATCAGATATCCGGGAAACTAGTGACACTGTCGCGTCGTCCATGTTTGCTACAGTCATTGGCTGGAACCTGACAACAGCGCCACCTGAAGGAGGCTTCTCTCTGTCTGATAGCTTGTGTTCTGAGACCTGACACCTGAATTTATGAGACCTGAGACCTGACGACTTTTAGTCTGAGACCTGAGATCTGACATTTTTTTGTCTGAGACCTTAGGATGTCCTAAAAATGTACACCGTACTGCAGAGACAATGCATGATGTGGGGTTTTATTTCATTTTCCAGGGCAGTGAATGTAATGTACTGATAACATAAATTATGACAACTTCTTGCAGAGAAAGTTCATCAGCTTACACTATGTTAAAAACACACAAAAATCAAATAATTTATTTTAATTGTGATTTATAGAGATAGTGGAAGGAGATGCTAAAGAGATAAAAACATGACAACATAAATGTGTAAAAAAAAAAGAAAGCCCTTGATGTGTATATGACTACAATAGATATTGATTCGGTCGTTTGGCAGAATTGCTGACCATAAGGAGGCAACTACTGTGGTTGCAAAGAGGCTTTGGGTGATAAAGAGGTCAGGGCAACTGTGGAACTGCTCAGCTTAAGATTTCTAAATAGAACTGAACTAATGGATGACATCAGTCTCTTTTTATATACAGTTAGTGATTATAAGCCACTTCTAGCTTGAACAGTTGAGTATATTTTTGTTTTTCCTCTGGAAACTTTTGGAATTCAGGGTTGTCATTCGGTGTGCCTGTGACATTGCTCTAGTTGTAAAAACAAAACAAAATATAGATGTATATGAAAATCTAAAATGTATTCAAAGGCAAAATGGGATGCATAGCTAATAAATAGTAATATGAAAAAAATAACAACTTTGTGTGAATGTAACCTTGTGAAATTTGAAAGTCCTAGTGGCACTACAATGATCATAGTTGCCATCATGCCTGACAAGCATCATCATATCATTTGGAAATGCAATCTGGATCCCAGCTGAAACTGAACAAGGCAGCGATGAAATGCTGCCCCTCTGTGCTCAAACAAACGTTCGCAGCTTGAAAACGAGCATATTTCTAAACCAATGAAAAGAAATATGCTGATTCAGGATTAGCAAGTTCTTTTGAAAGTTGACAGAAAAACCCAGTGCCTAATGTGTAACAGAACCAACGACAGCGGTTTTGCCACCTGCTCTCTGGAGCGGTGGCCCAGTTGTGTAGATGGGTTAAGATGCGGATTGTGTTGGGTCGTGCCGGGGGCCCATAGGTGGACACAAGGTGGGCATTTGCGCCAAGCTGACTGGAGGCGTGGGTTCCAATCCCACTCCTGACATC